AGAGCGGTGTCAAGAAGGAGTGATTCCTGGCACTGGTAGGAAGAAATTTTTTTAAGAGAAAAACAAAAAGAAATAAACATGTTATCAAAGTAGGGTACAACTATTGTTACCACCAAAGAGTGATTGTGTCCCTTTACACCTGGCATTTTACACTAGTCAAAACAAGTGAAACTGTCACACTGCTGTCTTTAGAACCTTAATAAAATAATTTTACAATGAATAATGAGATTTCTCTCAATACCTGCATTTACCAATAATACGTCCATCTGTGATAAGGTTAGGTGTTTCTTTGACGGGGGTGATTTTAGCAATACAATACAATGATCATTTTAAAAAAGGAAAAACAGGAATTATATTATACAAAAATCCTATAGGATAATTTTGTTAAACAGCTCATCAATACTATCACGAGGGCTTCCCTGGTGGTGCAGTGGTTAAGAATCCGCCTGCCAATGCAGGGGACACGGGTTCGATCCCTGGTCCAGGAAGATCCCACATGCCCCAGAGCAACTAAGCCTGTGTGCCACAACTACTGAGCCTGTGCTCTAGAGCCTGAGAGCCACAACTACTGAAGCCTGCACGCCTAGAGCCCGTGCTCCGCCACAAGAGAAGCCACCACAGTGAGAAGCCCACGTGCAGCAACGAAGACAAATGCGGCCAAAAACAAACATATTTTTTTAAAAAATACTATCATCAAGGTGAGTTTTTATGAAGGTTACTAGTCTAAAATATGAATTATATTAATTATTAAAATGATGTATTACATAAAAATAATTATTAAAATGATTGTGTTCATTGTAGCTCAAAGATTTCATAAGGAAAGAACTTCCATCCCCCAAAATATCCCCTTTTAACAAATAATTGCAAAAATGGCCTTCAAATTTTCTTTCTTTCTTTCTTTCTTTTTTTTTTTTTTGCAGTATGCGGGCCTCTCACTGCTGTGGTCCCCCCCGTTGTGGAGCACAGGCTCCGGACGTGCAGGCTCAGCGGCCATGGCTCATGGGCCCAGCCACTCCGCGGCATGTGGGATCTTCCCAGACCGGGGCACCAACCCACATCCCCTGCATCGGCAGGTGCACTCTCAACTACTGCACCACCAGGGAAGCCTCAAATTTTCTTAATAAATTTGTAAAATTATCTGTCTGAAACAAAGGTCATCTAATTTTTACAAAGCACCTTTTTAAAGAAAACTTATTAGTTATATAAGAAATGTTCAGGAAATCCTTAAACTACCTATTTTATAAAAGTTTAAGGAAATGAACATAGGACATGAGGTACTTGAGGTTACTACACCAGGACGGAAATACAAACAAAAAAATCAGGTCCTTTGACTCTGTATCTTAACAATTTGGAGTTTTTCTACCTGATTAGCATTTCCTTCACTACTCTACTTTCTCTAAATGATGAGAATAATTCTTCTGTCCTTTTCATGAGTTCTACAAATCACTGATAAGGTCAAGTCGGTTCAATCACAACGTAAATATTTTAATTTAGGAATTTTTAGGTAAATTTTTTATTTTTTATGTAACTTAGAGAAAATTTGCAAATATCACTAACTATTTACATTTTATCTCATTTGCTTTGTCAGTCTCTTTCTTCCTCACACATTTTTTTCTGAACCACGTGAGAGTGAGTTGCAGACACTGTAGCATTTCGGCCCTCAATATTTTCATGTAGTTTCCTAGGAACACAAACTTTCACTTAGATAACTACAGTATAGCTAACCAAATCAGTATTGTGTCAATGTTAAAATTTCTACTATATAATTACAGCACATATTCAAATGTCATTAACTGCCTTAAAAATGTCCTATAAAGCCATTAAATGTCCTTTAAATGTCCGTTTAAAAATGTCCTCTGATCTCCCCAGTCCAGAATTCAATTCAGGATCATGTACTGCATTTAGTGGTAATGTCTCTTTAGAATCCTACCATCTGGAACAGTTCCTTAGTCTGTCTATGTCTTTTAAGACTGATATTTTTAAAGAACACAGACCATTTATTTTGTAGAATGTTCCTCAATTTAGGTTTGTCTGATGGTCTCTCATGTTTAAAATCAGGCTATGCATTTTTGTAGGAATGTCACAAAGTCATGGTAGGTGCTTCTCACTGCATCATATCAGAAGCTGCAAGAGGCTAGTGGGTTCTATTACCAGTGATGCTAACTTTGATCACTTGGTTAAGGAGTATCTGCCAAGTTTCTCCACTGTGAAATTATTGTTTTTCTCTTTGTAATAAGTAAATATTTTGTTAGGAACTGTCTTGAGACTACGTAAATATATTCCTCATCAAACTTTTACCCCATAGTTTTGGTACCTGCAGAAGATTCTTGTGCGAAAGTACTATTTTAATTGTTCCAAAATGGTCATTTTTTAATTCCAACAGTTCTACGCCTATTAGCCATTTTAATGAATAACTTTCACTTCTCCCCAACTTAGTAATTTATTCATTCACTTACTTATATTTGTATGGTTCTTATTTTTTCAATGGGTTATAATCTATAACCATCATTATTCATTTGGCCAGTGGATGTTTCTCCAAACTGGTTCCTGTTCCTTTTGACTGTCCCCACCATTCTTTGACTATCTCCTTACTTTCTGAAACAACAATATGTTCCAGCCTCCTCTTGTACTTTCCCTGATCCAGTTCCTCCTGGGATCACCCATTTCTCCAAGGATCTGTGGTTTCCTTTAAGTGGAGAATGGTTTTGAAACCAGCATATGGGAGTTAGGTGTGTTCACTGTAACTACTTCTAGGCTTCTTAGCAAACAAAGCTGGAATATACACAAATACACACATCTACGCATATGCATACACATATATATGTATACATACAAATATACACATATGTCTCTAAGAGAAAGATACGTAAGTGTATACATGCATACATGTATGTTTCTGTCTTTATATAAATAAATGTTAAAAACCATGAGTTCATAACCTCTGATTCAAATCCAGCGTAACAGGGTTCATTGGAGTCTTTTCTTCCTTATATCTAAAACTCCCTTCTCCAACAATGAAAAACCTGGCTCCCATTTTCCTCAATACATTCATTCATTTGTTGAGTCCTAAAATAGACAGAAAATAGTTTCAAAATTACCAGTTCACACCATTACAAAAAATAGCCTATAAATTAGGGTTTGGGGCTTCCCTGGTGGCGCAGTGGTTGAGAGTCCAGCTGCTGATGCAGGGGACACGGGTTCATGCCCCGGTCTGGGAGGATCCCGCATGCCGCAGAGCGGCTGGGCCCGTGAGCCATGGCCGCTGAGCCTGCGCGTCCGGAGCCTGCGCATCCGGAGCCTGTGCTCCGCAGCAGGAGAGGAAAAAAAAACAATTAGGGTTTGTTATTTGTTTACAGCTCTTTTTATCTTAAATTTCAAAGTATAGGATGCTCAAAAGTTATTTGGCTTACTTTCTCCCTTCAGTGTGTTTATGTTATGAATTTGAAACACAGGTTTATTTGTTTCTGTTTATATTTTAGGGTTTTATCCCAACTTTATTGATTTCCTTTTATGTTTTTAATATAAAAATATGTTATGTTATTAATTTGAAACACAGGTTTATTAATTTGTGTGTTTATGTTATTAATTTGTTTATATTGTAAATTATTAACTTGAAACACAGGTTTATTTGTTTCTGTTTATATTTTAGGGTTTTATCCCAACTTTATTGATTTTCTTTGCTGATTTTTTGTTTTGTTTTGTTTAGTATCTAAAACATTAGCATGACAATGTTCTCTGATATTCTGCACTGATATCACATGCAATGCTACCAGGGGTTCTCTCTCAACCAGTGATTGTAATACAACTTCATAGTTTAGAAAGTGTATTTCCCACAAGAAATGAGCCTTTCTGTAGCCAATCACATGTATCTACCACTATCCCACTGAGGCCCAGCTGTTTTCTGGGAATTACTGTTTCTAGATATAGAAAGAAGGATAAAATGAAATGGGCAAACCCTACTCCAGCAACAGATATTACTTGTAAAATAGTTTTCATGCTACTTAGAGAGATGCCACAGGGTAGAAGAGGGCAGGACCCAGTGGGTAGAACTCCAGGTCCCTGCCCTGACTTGAATTCAAGATGCTATTGCTTTTCACTGATATAATATATTGAGCTTCAGTCTGAGATTTTGCTCATCCAATTCATTCAGCAAACATTCACTGAGTGTCTATGTTGTCCCAGGCACTGTTGTAGGTGCTTCAGTGAAAAAAGCCTTCATGGGACTTACAATTCTAGTTGTGGGAGAGATAAACTATAAAACTAAGTAAACTGTACATAGTTAGTTAAAAGATGAAAGTTATAGAAAAAATTCAACAAGATAGTTTGCAATATTATACAGCATGTCCAGTTTAGGTCTCACTGAAAAAAGAAAGCTTCCTTTTATACGAATAATTTTTTTAAGTTTGAAAGTCATTAGGAGAGAAGAAGAGCAATCCAATTTTTCAGTTGGTGCTAACCTTATGTCTACAGGCCCAGGGACAGACCATGAGAAAAAAGTCATAAGACATTTTCCTTCCTTCTTTCACT